CCGTCACGTTGTGACCATCTTATATATACCAGCCTATCCCCAATCTAATAGTCTCCCGATAATTCACGAAGGTTCGAGAAGTACGTGGCGTGATACTAGTCACGTGACCTCGCTGACGCAACACTGCCCTCTCCTTAGTATTGTTCGTCCCGAACAATAGCCTCTTACATTAAACCAATAACAATTAACAATGATCTAATTAAATGTACAGAATTACAAATACAAAATGACATTTCAGCAAAGTCTCTTAATTTTACGGGACGTATCTTCTTCCGTACTGGTCTCCATCTCCTTGGCTTCTGCTTCACGTGGGGTTCATCTACTTCATCAGGAAATGTTATATCGTCGATAACAGTCACATCAGTGGTAGTAACTTCATCAAGAGCTTCACCGTTTCCCTTCTCAAAACTGAGTAGAGTTTCTTCTTCGACGGCACGTCTTCAGCAGCGTCATTTGTTCTGTTGTCCACTTCGTCCCAACTGAAATGCCCTGGACCGTGATAACGACAAAGCCTATTGGCATGCACCACTTTTGGCTTACCTCGCTGACCACATTTTATCCACAAAGTCACGTCTGAGAGACGATCCACTATATCATATGGGCCTTCCCATGGAGAAGACAACTCAGGAGACTTCCCTTTGGTCTTCCTGGGATTATACAACCATACCTTGTCTCCAGGTACAAAGCTGACTTCAGTAGATTTCTTATCATAAGTTAACTTCATCGATTCAGCAGACGTTTTCAAGTTTGAACACACTTGATGGTGAATATCATCCCTCCTTTCCGATAACACTTTCACAAACTCTGACACATTCTCAGGCAACTCTTCATAAGGTGGGCATCTCTCATGCTTGGGCCCCCTTTTAGCACTATATGTACTGCATGTTCTGCACCATTCTTCCACATCTTGCCTCATACCTATCCAGTAAAATCTTTGTCGTAGGCGACTCAATGTCTTCTTAATTCCGAGATGTCCTCAAATCTTGATCTTTCTCCTGCTCTGCTTTAATATTGATACCTGGTTCCACTTCGTCATCATCAACTTCTATAGTCTCTTTGACTTCACCTTGATGGCACCTAATTAATTCAACCTCTCTTTTAACAGTTACCGGAACTTGGCCTTTGTTATTCCCAATAGTAATTTTATCAAAGTTAACTACACACTTCCTCGGTAGTAGATAGTCCAATCCTAATAT